CACACACACACACACACACACACCTCTCTATTCTTGTGAGGACTTCCCATTGACTTCAATTCATTTCTGGTTAATTGTATATCCTAATCCCGACCATTTACCCTAAAATTAACCTCACAGGTTAATTTTAAAACAAAACCTGACCCTAAAACTAACCTAAACTCAATTCACACCTTGGTCCTAAACCCAACCCCCACCTGTAATTTGCATTTGGTCTGTGGGGACCTGACGTTGGTCCCCACAAGGCTGCTTTTTTGGGAAAAACTGACCCCATGATGTAGGGAAAACAAGGCCACCCACCCACCCACACACACATACATTGTATTATACTTTGTATATTTGTAACAAATGACTGCATGCTGACTTGTTTTGTTTGTGATTCAGTGGGTTTGTGTTTTCATGCAGTGTGTTTGTGTTCACTTCTACATGAGCGTTATTAAGGCTAAAATATGAGTCGTCACTTCTTCCATTTTGGGAGAGTTGAGTTTGTGTTTGCCAGTAAAAGCTGAAATATTCTTTATTCTAGATGACAGAATAAGTTTTGCATTGTTTTAAACAACCTAGTATAATGTTTATTTTTTATTATGAGACATAGAACTGGTACATAACCATCCAGCACTGACCCTGTGCTCTAAAGTAAGGCTCACATTTATCCTTAATGACACTGTTTGTACTCATTACTGAGGTGTGTGTTATTAAATATGTTGACTGGCTACTCACATCTGCTTGTGGAAAATAACTCTGAACTTCTAAAAATGGGTTCTGTGACAACATTATAAACATTAATATCTTACCTGCTGTAGATCACCCTGTGAACAGCCTCAAGTTGGAGAAAGTTAGCTTAATGACTGTAGATCTGCAAAGTTTTGGTCTCATTTCCTCCTTATTGTAGCTCCACAAATCCCTCTTTCACTCCTATTCTGAGGTGTTTCTCAGACCAACTTGTTTTAATGTTTACATCCAAATGTGGTGCTTCACACCCAAGGTACACAGCAAAATGTATTTAATGATTAAGAAAGTAGATTTTGTATGATATGTCTCCTTTAAGCCGGTCTTTACCCTGCTCAGATAAACTTGTCAATCCAGTCAGAATTAAACACTATTTCTTTTGTTTCTCCACACTAAGGTTGTTCAAAGAGCTCTTAGGTCTACAGGTAAAATATTATTGTTCATAACCTTACCACAGAACCTCACCTTAAAAGACCTGAACGTTTTAAAGCTTTATAATGGTTACATTAGTGATAGTTCTCTTAATTGCAGCAAAGAACAAAGTAAAACCTTTGAAYGTTCCAGTGACAGAAAATCTACAGAACGAGTCACATCATCATCATCATCACTGTGCTGAAGGTGAGTGGCTCAAAAATCTAACATCTCAGAAAAAAAATCATTTGTGGCAGTCTGATATTTTGATTAAAGTCAGATTCATTAACGTCATGGGTTAATTGTGTTAGCACAGCTCAGCCAGCGTTAGGGGTGTAAATCACCAGCTTTATCACGATATATTACATTGATATGTTTGGATGACGATTTGATATTTCTGGATATCACAAAATCTGTCACAATATGATTTGGATTCAATTCAATTCACATTTCTGTGATCGATATGTGAAATCATATGCCCATCTAACACAACGACCCTCATGCAAGAACCGTTCGTACGCACAGATTTGTTCTTACGTTGTGCGTACGAGTGATTTTTTTTAATCAACATTCAAAATAAGTCGAAGCTGGTTAAGTTGTTCTTGTATTCTATTAAATGCATTCTGTGTGTATGCAAACACTTCTGTGGGCCTAAGTGCAAAGTAATGGCTGTGTCGTCTGCATAAAAATGAATTGCTGCATTTGAAATATCCTTTCCAAAATCATTAATATACAAGATACATTAAAAGGACCGAGTACAGAACTTTGTGAATAAACTGAGCTCCAGAATAAAAACCATCTAACTGGACTGCCTGGGTTCTATCATTCAGATAGTTTACAAACCATCCGACTATGTAGAAAACCCAACTGTTAAGACTAAAGTAGAATGAAGTGATCTACAGTATGAAAGGCCTTAGAGAAATCTACAAATAGTGAAAGACACTGATTTTTATCTTGAGCTTCTGTTAAATCATTTAGAACCTTTAAAGCTGCAGTGGTAGTGTTTTTTTACGAAGTCCTGATTAGAAAAAAAAATAGAATTGGTGGCTAGATATTTTACTTCACTTAACTCCGCAAACACATTTAGAAATGAGTCCAAATGTAAAAAAAAAAAAA